CCACAGTCGGTTGTGTGAAAGCATGAGTAGAGAAAACAGGGGTGTGAGAATGAATGAGGGATTAGATAGGTTAATGAATGAATGCGTGAGCCGCGAGAGAAAGAAAGAGGGAGTGTGTGTGTGTGTGTGTGTGTGTGTGTGTGTGTGTGTGTGAGAGAGAGAGAGAGAGAGAGAGAGAGAGAGAGATTAAGAGAGGGAGAGGGAGAGAGGGAGAGAGAGAGGGAGAGACTGCGAGAGAGGAGATTAAGTGTATGTGTGTGTGTGTGATGTGTATGTCTGTGTGTGAGGGAACATTTCCAAAAAAAAGTATGGCACAGTCGACATTGTATTTAAAGATTACATAATAAACAACCTAATAATTATAATGAAATAAAGTCAAGATTTTTTTTATAATAGAGGGTTTTACGGGGCTCGCAACTGCATAATAAGGTCATTTGAGCGCCAAGGGGTGGGTGTCAACAGAGAAGTCTTTACAGGGAATCAGACTTAGACTGCTCACCTCTCTAGCTTCAACAGCCCAAGGTCTGCTTCGACTAACAAGGCACCCCAAAATAGCAGGTCACAAGAGAGTGACAAACATACAAAAGAAGTAGAGGAAAATGACAATAGTAAGGATCAGGAAAGAAAAAGCAGCAGTTCCCTGTTGTAGATCAGGCACAGTTATGAGCGTGACATGAGTCAGCCCATTTACAATTCTACTATGCTTGAACGAGAAATGTACCCCCTTTGGGAATGGCCTAAAGACACTACAGTCAGTGGCACTGCCCCGGGGGGTTGGTCGGGTCTGTCTCCTTGTTTGTCTCTAATCACTGAAAAAAGGCGAGGATACTTGATGCTGCCACAAAATACGTATCCACAAGTTGTGTGAAGCGCTTGCGAAGCTCACTCTGTAAAAAAAGAGCGAGTGGCCAATATCGATCCAGTACTGTATCGACTAAGAGAGCTCAGTATCGATAAGTACTGACGTAGTCTAAACAGCAGTATACATTGCTCCCAGCCGAACGCTCCGAACCCCCGACTCTAGCACGGAGATCACCAGGAGAGAATGCGTCGCTGTTTCGGGCTCTTCCTCTCTACAGCTTGTCTGACGCACTGAGCCCCCTACCGATGTGAGGTCTCCATGCTAGTCCGACTGTTTTCCTCTGCTACCAACTCTTAGTCTTAGGATTCATTCCAGCCTGCGTCCTCTCGCTTCAACCAGATCCAGTGACTGGCTTTCTCTACTGTCTCCTGAAGGGAGTTTAGGAGTTCGTTGCTTTTCTTTGGAGTAAGTCCGGCCACTCTTTTTTTAAGACGCTAGTTGCTACGAAACCTCTGCATCCTACCTCTACAGGAAAATGGGTTGCTTTCCATCCTGCCTCCTCACATTGTTCGACGAGTGCCTCGTATTAGTTTTCTTTCCGCTCATGTGCGGCATAGATATTGTCCTCGTGGGGCACGGGATCGAGGACTGGTGATGGGTCTCATTTAAATATTGAGAAATGCCTAAGCGTCTCAAACAGCTTCTCCCAGTCCAGCCAACCGTACCTGCCCGTGGTGGTCCCTGTCCTCACTGACACGGCTCTGGCGAATGGCGAGTTGTTGGCGCCAACAAACCAACCCCCCCCCCCCCCCGTTTCCTAGAGGAAACAACAGGATGGGAGCAGGTGTGGCCCCACAAGGTGCGTGGTAGACGCTATGCTCCTCACTAACACACCCCTACTCTCC